ATCTTTACTACCAGAAATTCCCTAACTTTCCATATTAACTATCAACCTCCGACTGTCACTTTGTTCACGTACGTTTTGCAACACGTATCTAAACGAGGACTAAAGCGTAAAAACGCCTCTAAACGAGGCGTCTACAGGCAAATTGTTAGGTAGCAAAATATTAGCTCGGTGTCTAGCGTTAATCGCTCGACAATCAAATTGAAATAAATAATAATGGTAGCGAAATTTTAAAAAAAATGTAATCAAATAAACAGTAATATGGACTTCCGCACCAAATTTAGTAAAACTATATAATACATAATAATAAATACACTACCATAGGACAATGAAGCGGTAAGTTAAATCACCAAGGTCAAATAAATACATGTTTATGTAAATATATGTAAAGCTGATAGTTAAAACTAATATAAACAAATATAATACAATAGATATTTTTAATTGTATTGTCTTTACCAGAGGGAGACTTTGTACGAAAGTCGATTGCGTGGGTACCTCTGTCCCATTCGTGTTTCAACCGTGAAGCAGTTGTGTTTGCATGGCTGTGTTTCGGTTTGAAGGGTGGGATATGGCGTGAATTTACTGGGTACAGAGGAATAACACCTGAGTCCTCAGGAATGGCAACGCATGGGGGGTATCATGGACGAAACAGTATACTCTGTTATGTCCATGGTACTGCTCATGTCTATAGGCGACGGTTACCACTTTCCATCAGGTGGGCCGTCAGCTTGTTTGCCATAGTTGCCTAAGTTGTATAAAAAAAAAATTTTAATTCTCGTATTAGTCGTTCATAAAGTTTGGTCACTAGAGTTATGATATTTAACAAAAAATAATACGAAGAAACTTAATAAAGGCAGTGGAAGCGAAAATATATATTTTTAGAAATGTTATCTGTCTGTTTTTCTTTATAGCACTGAGGTGGCAAACAAGCATATCGCCCACCTGATGGTAAGTGGTTACCGTAGCCTATGAACACTTGCAATACCAGAGGTATTACGCGTGCCGACCCTGAAGAAACCCCTTTATCCTCCTTTTGAAGAACCCCATGCTGTAGTCTCTTGGGAAAACCTCGGTAGGGAGCTCATTCCACAACCTGAATGTTCGTGGGAGGAAACATCTCTGAAACCGCGCAGTACGCGACCATTGAGGCTGTAGGACATGAGGATGAACTCCCTGTCGATGGCGAGCCGTACGATGTTAGAAAGTGGCTGTGGGCATCATATTGAACAATGCGGGTTTAACGGTTAAATTCCTAAATGTCTAATTTAAAATTTGTTGTATATTTTATCACGACAAGCCAAACAGAAGTGGTTTTCCTACTTCTGAAATCCACGTGTACGAAATAGCGAACAAAAAACTAATAGGAAACAACGATGGGCCGTCAACTAGCCATAACAGTCAGTTGGTCATAAAAAAATCATCTCAAAACACATATAGAACCGGTCATGTTATGGACAGAGCTATTTTGAAACTGGTAACATGATTTTATGAATTTTATAGCCGAATTTATTTGTAGAGCCAAAAAAAAACTGTATTTGTTTATATCAAGCTACAGTTTTTAAGGTCGTTTATAAAAATACTATCCAGTTTCGTGTAATTTTTATGTTGACTCTAAAAATATCACCTCCATTTCTTATTACCTTTTTATTGATCTGAAGACCGGATGTGTATTATCAATAATACGAGAATGTATTATTGGACATCGAAAGATAAAAATAAATTATCTAAATAGACTTTTATCAAGGTACCTAATCAAGTAAATCATTATTTTTATCATACTCGTATTGTGATTTCAGAGGGAGACTTTGTACAAAAGTCGTTTGCTTGGATACCTCTGTCTCATTCGTGTTTCAACCGTGAAGCAGTTGTGTTTGCATGGCAGTGTTTCGGTTTGAAGCGTAGTTTATGGTGTAAATTTACAGGGTACATAGGAATAACACCTGAGTGCTCAGGAGTGGCAACGCATGGAGGGTCATGTCTATAGACGACGGTTACCACCTTCCATCAGGTGGGCAGTCAGCTTATTTACCATTCTAAGTTGTATAAAATAAAGATTATTTATCTAAATATAAAGACAAATCTTTAGTAACACAGAGAAAATAAATTAATATTGTAGATAGATAGATAGATACTCTTTATTGTTTCCTCCAAAAGATTACAATAGTAAACTTATTATAAATATAAACAATTACAAGAAATAATCACAGTGAGAAAACAATGGGCGACCTTATCGCTAAGAGCGATCTCTTCCAGGCAACCTTTGGATGGAGAGGAGTAATTATAAACAATTTGATTGGAGGCACGATGAAAATTCTATTATTTCTAAATATGGAGATGTGATACATGTAATAATGTAAATATATATCCCTACTTATATATACATACACACACACATATACATACATATACACATATACATACACACATTTAATTAATAAAGATAAATAAATACCTTATTTCTACTAAGGTATAAGACAAGACAATGTTTAAAAATAAAAGTCATTGAGAAAGGAAGGTAAATATTAATAAGGTTCATAAAAGAGCTCTTATGTTATAAAATACACGCGTAAGTCAAAGCTGGTAAAAGGCTAGTTTCATGACAAATGTGTATGGTTTTAGTTGATCATGCACTAGCTTTTCAATGACCATGTAATTTTAGACATAGTCTTCGCTTAAATAAATATATAGGTACTTATATAAATATATATGTTAATAGAGATTTAAAAGAGTAACTGTTGAATTTCTTGCGGGCTCTTCTCAGCAGATAATAACTTTCTGAATCCTGCAGTAAATTTAAAAAAATGACAATATAAAAGTGCTTGTAAACAGGTCTATTTCGAATAAAGTTGAATTGAATTTAAATTAAAAAAAAAAATATATTTAATATTTGGACAGTGGTAACCCTAGTGTTTTCGGCGACACGCGGGCAAACAAATGCACAATAGATATTGGCCAATGGTTACGTACTACAGGAATATTAAGCGGATAACGAGAGGTCACTGACACCGTTACCTTTTTGTTTAGGACTCTCTGACAAATGGTTAGGCGATTTAAAAAAAATATTGTTGTCACTATGACCACAGATATGGTGAAAACAATTGCTTTTAAGTGTTTTTAACCGACTTCACAAAATTGCAGTTTCGCGATTGTTTTTTTTTTATTGGTTAATGTGCTGATCAAACACTGTGAAATTTGGTGTCCCATATGGATGGAGATAGGCATACGAGTGCTTTCTATCCCGGTCAATGACCCTATCCTGGTCACGCGGACGAAGTCGCGTGTAAAAGACAGTTTTATATATTAATTTATATATATATATATATTTTTTTGTCGATCTTGAATATATATTTTTTTCTATTTAAAGAAAAAAAAAACGGAAATGAGAAGAGTAAGATTCAGTTTAATTTTTCTTAATCTTAATTTTAATTTCTTGAAATCTTTAAAATGGTTCTTTTTCGGTAATTTCGATAGTTTTTTGAAATGAAATGAAATATTTATTTGCTTTAAACAGACATTTAACATAATAAAGGCCATGTGACAGAACTTTATGGCATCTGTTTTAATTGCTTAAAAATTGTATAATAAATATATATATATATATATATATATATATATATATATATATATATATAAGAAAATGTTAAGCATTATGTTGGTGATTACTAAGATTATACAAAATTAATGTCAAATAAAAATAGATTTTTTTTTATGCAACTTAGAATAGCAAACAAGCTGACGGCCCAGCTGATGGAAAGTGGTAACCGTTGCCTATAGACATGAGCAGTACCATGGACGTAACAGAGTATACTGTTTCTCCTCATGCGTTGCCATTCCTGAGGACTCAGGTGTTATTCCTCTGTACCCTGTAAACTCACTGCCATATCTCACCCTTCAAACTGAAACACACTGCTTCGCGGTAGAAACACGAATGAGACAGAGGTGCCCAAGCAAACGACTTTTGTACAAACTCTCTCTATAGATTTAAATTAAACCAATAAATTTAAATAGGCACATATCCAAAATAGTCAAATAAGAATAATAATTACATTTTGTATATTACACTAATAACAAATTACAAATTATTTATTTAAATAAATGTAATTTTTTTTACATTAGAAATTTTACACACTATATTGCTTTTTTAATTACTTAAATTAACTCGTCTTTTTTTTTTTAGTTTTACAATGTAATCGATGACTAAACGCTTCGACCAGTTCGAGACAAGAACAGATGTAATCATTCAAGCTTACTTGCAGACTTCCTAACTGCTAACACCTAGGAAGTGTGGGTTCGAACCCAGTGACGGAAGTACTAAACACTGACATTTAACTGCAGCGCGTTAAGGGCAAGTTTGTCTGCTGTATTTGTCTTAATTAGCAATTTATTCATTAAATCAACTAATTTAATATAAAAATATATAATAAATTTTAATATTAAACCACGCTGAGGATAAAACTGAATATATTATTATTTATATTAAAATGTTACTTAATGTTTGTTTTGTATTATAAAAAAATATTGAACATACTTTATATTGGACTCATTATTTATTTATTTATTCATTAGTACAAATATGTGTATATGGCGGACTTAATGCTAAAAGCATTCTCTCCCAGTCAACCATAGGGAAGTGTCAGAATACTCGAATGTGGTACTACTAATTATTGATATACATACATACTAAAATTACATATATAAACGAATAAATATATATGAATAACAAATATACTTACACATATATGACATATACTATATTATACACGAAATTGAGAATAATATAAAGTACTTACGTACATAAAAAAAAAACATTTAACGTACAATGACAGACTTATCCTATTTTTTTTTCAATATATTTTTGTTTTCTTAATTAATAGACGGTAATCGAAAACATTAGGATCCTTTTAAGAGAACGCTTTAACAGTAAAGAAAGAAACATGGACTAAAAAATAACAAATAGTCAACAGGTTAATAATAGTTTACCAGATGGAGTCTTTGTACAAAAGTCGATTGCTTGGGTACCTCTGTCGCATTCGTGTTTCTACCGTGAAGCAGTTGTGTTTGCATGGCTGTGTTTCGGTTTGAAGGATGGGATATGGCGTGAATTTACAGGGTACAGAGGAATAACATCTGAGTCCTAAGGAATGGCAACGCATGGGGGGTATCATGGGCGAAACAGTATACTCTGTTACGTCCATGGTACTGCTCATGTCTATAGGCGACGGTTACCACTTTCCATCAGGTGGGCCGTCAGCTTGTTTGCAGCTAAGTTGTATAAAAAAAAGGTTAATAATAATCATCACGATAGATGAAGAAATTTAAAAGCAATATATAATAGTTTTTTTTTAATTTTTTTTTTTACAATATTAGTTTAGATCCATTTATTTTTCTGTTTTTTTTTTTAAGAGGGTTGCCCTTAACATGAACACATTGTAGGTGCATGATTGACACCGTCGCAGCAAGTATTGTGTGCGTGCCGTAACGGAGGTTTTACGATGCGCCTACCCGCAACACGCATCTAAGCACTTGGCCTCGAATAACCCGCTTCTTGTTGCATACAATTATTTGCATCGTAAACTGCAATCTGAGGATCGATTGAAACGAGTTTACAGTTGTGATGATTTTGATGATGATTTGATGATGATGATATTTTTGGATGATGATGATATAAGCATTTTTATAATAAATGAGGTTAAGCAGGGAAGGGATTGTTAGTAATGCGAACTACCAGTGCAATAAACCCTATCAGGTGGACCTCTTCATGGTCTCTCCTGGAAATCATCGTACTGAATTCCTGGTGTGTTTTACACGATAGGCTAACTGACTTGCCTTTTAATCCTCATCTATCATCCCTTACTGGTGCCCCGCCAGTGTATACCAATAGCGCTGACGGGGTTACCATTCCATCATCATCTATTAAAAAAAAGTCGCCGTCGTATATTATGATCCATTTTAAAAAATCCCTGTACCATATCATATTATTATGTTCATTCCAATGGTTGTCTAGTAGGGAATTTTTATTTTTTTATACAACTTAGAATGGCAAACAAGCTGACGGTCCACCTGATGGAAAGTGGTAACCGCCTATAGACATGAGCAGTACCATGGACATAACAGAGTATACTGTTTCGCCCATGATACCCCGCATGCGTTGCCATTCCTGAGGACTCAGGTGTTATTCCTCTGTACCCAGTAAATTCTCGCCACGTCTTTTGTACCTAACATTTTTTTTAATGTGGTCAATAAAGAATAAATAAATAAATGCACTAAAAAAGTCAACGTAGGTACTAAGACATAAATGACTAGACGTGACTAGATTGATTTTCCGCTTTTCTCTGCGTATTAAAGAAATTGTCGTCCCACTTGATAATGTATATCGATCCACGAAATATTTTCGCTGCCCCAATTTCTAAATAGAATCCATCGCGTTTTCCTCATTTCGAAATAACCTAATTTTAAAACAATAAACATTTCCTGTTCCCCGTTCCTCTGAAATAAGGGTACTTGAACAATCAAATATCTCTTTTGTTTCATATTCGGGATATATTGTTATTTTTCATATTTATTATTATTATTTTATATAAGCATTTTTACTCTATTATTGTTAATACACCGCCTTTATGAATTTATTTATTTATTTAACTCTTTATTGCACCATAAACAAAAATATACAATGACAATTGAATAATTCAAGTGAAACACAGTAACATAAATACAGATTGAAATATAGAGAAATAACACCTGAGTCCTCAGGAATGGCAACGCATGGGGGGTATCATGGGCGAAACAGTATACTCTGTTATATCCACGGTACTGCTCATGCCTATAGGCGACGGTTACTATTTACCATCAGGAGGGTCGTCAGTTTGTTTGCCATTCTAAGTTGCATAAAAAAAATGAAAAATAAATAAAGATAAAAAAAAGAGGGAAAAGCTGGTATTGAATAATAATAATAACAGTGTCGAAGTTTAATTAACTAAAAGATTAAAATCAAATTAGTTGTGTCTAACCATTGACTCATTTTTCTGTATTAATCACTTAAATTGTTAATGTGGAAGCAATGGTTATTATATTTCCATTAACAGGGGCCCTTTGTTTTGCAATATTGGATTTGAACAAAGCCGCTTATCTTCGGAGTAGAGTTTTTGTTTCAATAACAATAGTTGATGGCCAGACCGAGGACGAACTGTCATCAGTGGGCACAGAGATAAAGGCTGTAAAAGAAAAAAAGGGCAATTTATGTAAGCTGACTATTTAAAATTGGCGTCATGTCGACCATATTGTCAGACTGGCGCCAAATAGTGACCAAAGTTAGCAGCATGTCTAATGTTTTGAATAAATTTAAACGACTTTCTGTGGACTCTTCAGAACGCAAGATAGTTTAAAATAAGTCATGGAGTAATTTAATTAATTATTTAAACGCCGTTGCACTTCATTTTTGGCTGTAGCCCTTTGTACAAAAGTCGTTTGCTTGGGTACTTCTGTCCAATTCGTGTTTCAACTGTAAAGCAATTGTGTTTGCATGACTGTGTTTCGGTTTGAAAGGTAGGATATGGAATTTACAGGGTACAGAGGAATAACATCTGAGTCATCAGGAATGGCAACGCATAAGGGGTATCATGGGCGAAACAGTATACTCTGTTATATCCATGGTACTGCTCGTGTCTATAGGCGACGGTTACCACTTTCCATCAGATGGGCCGTCAGCTTGTTTGCCATTCTAAGTTGTATAACAAAAAAGCCCATTAATAGATAAACGATATATCTCCTTTGGAAAATACACTTTATGTCCTGAGGAGATAAAAAACATCGCTAGAAAGAACAATATTTATCACTGATACGTATTAGCAGCGAAACAAAAAAAAAAAACAAAAGATCATAAAAAGTATGCAGTGTCACAGATTTTTCTGCCAGAAAAAGCCCTGCTCCCAATAATAATAATTCATTTCTTTATTTTTCAAACTTAAAACTGCCATACATATGCAGGATCAAATTTCTAATTTGATAGTTAAGTATTTACACACGTCTGACAGGCTAAACTTACATTAATAACACACGTTACTTGTAATATAGGTACAGTGACGTTTAAATACTAATAGAAATAATTACAAAATAAAACAAATCTAAAAAGGTTTGTGCGTCAGTTTTATAGCAACAATATAAATATTAGCCCGTTGAAAATTTTACGTACAACATACCATACAATTTTAAGCCTTCCCCATAAGTGGAATTTTGCCAGTAGTTCATCCATCCATGCTTGACAGGCAAATTGGCAGGCGCAGTTAGACTTTTAGAGATGTTTTAACAGGTACGATGGTGCCCATACCTCGCCCTTGCTTAGTCGTCTCCTACGACACCCACGGGAAAGGAAGGAGTGGCCTATTCTATGACGGGACCGCATAACCAATTCTAAGTATACAGTACGATAAAAGCTTTTTTTTTGTCAATTTTTTTTAAAAACATGTACACTGCTAATACTAAATTAATATGTATTTAAAATGAAAAAAAAAAAAAAACGCATAGAATATTTAAGTGTGGCGATTTAAATAATTAACTTCCAGCAGCAGTATTTCCGAACCTATACGACAACATAACCTTCAAGAAAAGAGCATATTCCTTTTTAAAAGGCCGGCAGCACACCTGCAATGCCGCTGGTGTTGTGAGTGATTATGGGCGACGGTAATCACTTACCATCAGGTGAGCCGCATGCTCGTTTGCCCCCTGTGTTGTAAAAAAAAACTTCGTTTATTGCGATAAGCAATACGAATACAACATTTAACTGTACCAAAGTTACTGTAATTATTCTCAAATAATATTATAGTTTAGGTAGATGGTTAGTGCGTCAGGTGTTGACCCCACGTTATCAATCTTGTCAGAATCTGTGTGCTGCACTTAGCTGACCCTTAGTTGTCTAACCGCGGTGATATAGGTAGGTATTGTCATTTAACCTCTAGCTGTTCGATCATCTGTCCATTAAAACGATAATACTGTCATATCGGGGGGAAAGGGATTGTTATTAATGAGGTTTGATAGTCCCATTGCTAGCAATATGCCCTATTAGATCGACCTCCGCGTAGTTCCCCCTGGAAACCAGCGTGGTCAATTCTAGTGCAATTCGTCATGATGGACTAACTGACCTGCTTTCATCATCATCGGTACCCCGCCAGCGTATACCGTTAGCGCAGGCGGGGGTACCATTTCATTATCACCCATTAAAAAATACTGTCATATCGGGGGGAAAGGGATTGTTAGCAATGGAGTTTGATAGCCCCATTGCTAGCAATATGCCCTATTAGATCGTCCTCCTGGAAACCATCGTGAACAATTCTTGTTGAATTCGTCACGATGGGCTAACTAACCTGCTTCATCCTTACCTATTATTCTTTACTGGTATCACCAGCATTTGCCGATAGCGCGGATAGGGTTACCATTCCATTATCACCCATTAAAAAAAATGCTGTCATATCAGAACATAAATTGAAAGTACTTGATACATAGTTTTTTAAATACATAGTAGGGAATATTTTAAACTGGCCACCAAGTAGTCTACCTATGATTGCCAACCTGCCTGCCAAGCGTGACAACTAATAACAAAACTCCTCTGGGGAGTGGGGGGGTATTCAGCAGTATCAGTAGATGGCTGCTAAGATTACCGGCATTTTATAAATAATGTTACCAAAATTGGTACATAGATAGATAGATAGATACTCTTTATTGTTTCCTCCAAAAGATTACAATAGTAAACTTATTATAAATATAAACAATTACAAGAAATAATCACAATGAGAAAGCAATGGGCGGCCTTATCGCTAAGAGCGATCTCTTCCAGGCAACCTTTGGATGGAGAGGAGTAATTATAAACAATACATACATACTGTTCTCCGACTCTATCAGTAGATACAAAACAACTAAGAATATTTATATAATAATCATGCTTCCACACATTTGTCCTTGTTGATATTTCCTGATTGTGTTATATATATACATATACCTAAAATATTAGAGTAATGTTTAGTAGGTACCTACAACTATTACATTTCAGGTATAAAGTCGTCCTTTTGAAATTCAGCAGGGATTTAATAGAATTTTGTCCAATATATATATATATATATATATATATATATATATATATATATATATATATATATATTATATGTCAAAGAGGATTATATATAATATGTGAAAGCTCGTAAATTCGATATGAATAAATATGTACAAGCAATGGATTCTATCGACTAAACAAAATTTATCGGAAGAGCTTATCAAATGAGATAACATGAAAGTAATGAATAAATTGTCATCGTCGGTAAGTTGTAAACATGTTTACGGCTTTTGATTCCGTTGTCACAGTATAATGGATATACTGGGTAAACATTTTTTTTTTGTTTTTATATAAATACTAGCTGACTCGGTACACTTTGTTTTACTATAAACATTATTTCTAGAACTATACATGAAAATTTATCGTACTACAATTATTATATTCGATTGCCACCTTGCAACCCTATTGCGGCATATAGAAATCGCGATTAAACAACAGGGGTTGATCGTAAAAGCGTGAAAATTTGAATTCTTATGTATTTTTAAGGCTAAATCATAATAAAATAAAACTAAAAAAAAATTGTCAAAAAAATTAAAAAAAAAATTTGGGTTGGCTCACCCCTATCATTGAGGGGTATGAAAATAGATGTTGGCCGATTCTCAGACCTACCCAATATGCACACAAAATTTCATAAAAATCGGTAAAGCCGTTTCGGAGGAGTTTGGTAACAAACACCGCGATACGAGAATTTTATATATTAGACTCAGAATATGTTATTTGAAATTTTAATATAATTTAGATAATTTACTAAAATTAAGTAGGTATTATTTTATAGCGTACAACATAAGTACGTATTAGTACATGAACAGTGCACGTTCTAAACTTTAAGCTTAAGTTAAACTTTATACGCCTCCAAATATGAAATTTTGCACGAATCCATACTAAACCTATAAAATAAATTCTAAAGTGAGTTTGTTTGTTTAATGGGATGGAGAAGGAGAAGGATAAACAGAGTTTTTTTTTTTACTTATAATAATGGAATGGCAATCCCACCCGCGCTAATGGTATACGCTGACGGGGCACCAGTGAGGGATGACGGGTGAGAAAGAAAAGGCAGGTCAGTTAGCCCATCGTGATGAAGACACCTGGGATTCAGCACGATGGTTTCCAGGGGGGACCACGTGAAGGTTTTTTTTTATTCAACTTAGAATGTCAAACAAGCTGACGGCCCACCTGATGGAAAGTGGTAACCGTCGCCTATAGACATGAGCAGTACCATGGACATAACAGAGTATACTGTTTCGCCCATGATACCCCCCCCCCCCATGCGTTGCCATTCCTGAGAACTCAGGTGTTATTCCTCCGTATCCAGTAAATTCACGCCAAGGTCGACCTGACAGGGTATATTGCTAGAAATGGAATCAGTAATCCGCATTACTAACAATCCCTTACCCCCAATAACCAAATCAAGCAAATATTTCTTTTAATCTACCGCACAATTCGTATTATACTACTGCATTTTCTACACTGTACACCCATCGAAGAATCCAATCGAATGGGTAGTTGAGTGTGATGAAACGAGCTCTTCCCTTTGTTTATTCGATTCGGGGGATGTTTGCTTCACATCTTGAATTTACTATGGAAATTGGTTCGTGAATCTTATAAGCACTCTGTTTACCTGTAGACAGAGGAATGGCCATTAAAAATGTATTAGATAGCTATCGGCATCAAAGGCGAATGGTTTGTATCTCTTACAGAGTGTATAAAACTGTATCTACTATCCATCTTTTTGAAAAATCTTTATTTATTTTTTAGCCGACTTCAAAAAAGGAGGTTCTCAATTTGATTGTAATTTTTTTTATGTATGTTACCTCATAACTCCGTCAGTTCGAAATCGATGTAAAAAATTCTTTTTTTATCTGATATTTACAGATTTGTCCAACAGAAATTTTAATCTAATTCAAAATTGGCTTACTAACTTAGCTTTTAAATTCAAATACCTGGTTATTAAAGCATTAACAATATGCCATGAATATTATTCACTGCTGCGTATAATGAAGCGGTTTCAGCGGTAAAACCAATGGACGATTGCTAAATTATTAATAGACGATCACACACAACATCAACCAGTCACAAGAGTCGCTCATCACGACATCGCGAGAACGCCAATCATAACGCAGGGGAAATTTACATGAGCTTTCAGGTTTCAAATTGTAACTTACTTGCAAAACAACCTTCAGCGCATTACATCAAATTTATATTACATCAACGCTTCAAAATTATTTATTTTTTATTTACCCTAGTTAAACCGCTTCAAATACTAGGTGTATTTATTCATCATCATCATCATCATCCGTTCGCAAACGCACATCATTAACATGGTTTTGTCACAAATGAAGTCAGTTTTTCTTTGGATCTTTAATTATTGCTATTGTATATAATCGTCGTGTTCATATCAGCCGTTAACTGTCCACTGCTGGACATAAGCCGTCGCCATAAGAGAAGTTTTGCTAGTAGTTGCCACGCTTGGCAGACAAGTTGGGGTGATATATAAAGAAGGACGCTGATACCCATCCCTCGACCAATTAGTTCCTTTGGTCGCCTCTTACGACACTCACATGAAAGGAAGGGGTAACCCAATCAATTTCAAGACCACACAGCTGATATATTTTTTTATACAACTTAGAATAGCAAACAAGCTGACGGCCCACCTGATGGAAAGTGGTAACCGTCGCCTATAGACATGAGCAGTACCACGGCCATAACAGAGTATACTGTTTCGCCCATGAGACCCCCCATGCGTTGCCATTCCTGAGGACTCAGGTGTTATTCCTCTGTACCCTGTAAATTTACGCCATATCCCACCCTTCAAACCGAAACACAGCCATGCAAACACAACTGCTTCACGATTGAAACACGAATGTAACAGAGGTACAAAAGCAAACGACTTTTGTACAAAGTCTCCCTCTGGTATATGGTATAGTGGATATTGCTTACCAAAAAAATCATCAACAATAATTGTAGCAAAATAATATTACAAATAAACAAACAAATCTTTATAGTATTAGTGTAGAAAACACCACTATTGTGTGTAAAGTATACAAGCAAATATTAGAAAATTTATCAAAAAGACTTGTTTTCATTGTTACAACTAAAGAAAGACTTTGATAACGGCCAAAAGTACTGTAATTGTAATTTCACGGGTGATATCGCATACAAATGTAGGCGTGCAATGAATTGATGTGAATCGCTACGCAGCTAGTATTTCCACTAACATCCATTGTCCGAACTGTGTGACGAGGGAAACCCTTTTCGTGTTCTTTGATCCAAGATCACTCACACACTAGATTACAAGTTATATTGACCGAAATTTTATAATGCACCTCATTTACAACATTACTTATTCAAAGAACACCTTATTTCTTTTAACTGTAAGGTATAATATCGATTGGTATGTATAAAAAGCTCCTACCTTCAGTATTTTCACATTATCAAAGCGGTTTCTTTGTTGGCATTATAATTTGGTATCAAGCAGTCGTTGTTGGCACTCATTGTTGGTTGGGCTATGGGTCAGAATTCTATAACAGAATATTGTCCATAACAATTGTCGGTGTCATGGTGAGACTGAATCGTGTTAAACATCGTGAATATTCAAATGGGGTACGAGTAAGTTTTAAAATACCATAAATTACTTGCCGCGTGGTCCGGCATAGAATGGACTCTCCTTCTCCCGTGAGTGTCGTAAGAGGCGACTAAGGGAACTTAATAGTCAAGTAATGGGCGGCTGTGTCTTTCTTTAAACATAACCAAAGCCTAACTGCAGTTGCCAACCCACCTACTAAGGTAACTGCTTAAAAATCTCCTCAATAGGCCTAAGTCCAGCAGTGGACAGATATCATCAATACCCTCAAAGATTACTTATCCCGTCATTAGCGTACATCTGCAAACTTATCCTGTACCACGAGTTATAAACCTTAGATGTTTGATATTGACAGACTGTAGAAACCTTCCGCCAACTATGGAAGTCACGATTTTGATGGTTAAAAATCATCAGAACTCATATTTTTAACTAGCTTTTACCAGCGACTTGGTCTGTATGTCTGAACTGATATGATCACTGACCAGAATTAAAAGGAGTCTTTGTCCTCTATCCCATATAGTCAAATTTGATAGTGGTTGGTTAAGCTGTTAAGATGCTAAGAGGCAGATAACAAACAAAGGAATTTTCAAGATTTATAATATTAGTAAGGATCCAACAAATCTAGTTTATCGTGTTTCATTCCTTTAGCCATCTCCTAGTACATCCTGAGGTCGCAAAGGAAAGACCGAAGGATCATTGGTGCTTACTCTTTTAACACGCTAAGAAATATTATGTTTGTTTTATAATAATTCACTTTTATCACTTCCTTTACAAGTAACGTTTTCGGAAACAACGTCATCAGCCCACTGTATGACCCCAATGATTTCAATTCATTTGTCTATATCCATCTTGAATGGGTGTGTCCGATGACTCCGTGTGATCAGATAGGGCGTAGCCAGTGAAACTTTTAATGACAGCCTGTTTGCTTATTTACGGCCTTTCTATGTAATTTGCCTCCACGGCTCACTAACCCTCACGAATAGTCGGCAGTACCATCGAACAATACGAGGGTGCCACTCCCCGGCTATTAATCCCTTTGTCCCGAAGTTTCGTTGCAAACTGTTCAGCCTATATTCTCGGTTTTTTACAGCGACCAAGTTTCATTGTTTACTGTTTGAGACAAAGGAAGGTAACATGTTAGGTTTAATGTTGCGTATTCAGCTATCGGGAAGTCTTTGTCGTGATTAGTTCAGTTAATTAAATGCAGGTATTATAGAAGTTCTATGAACATTATAAATGTAAAACTAACTATGAAGATATTTGGATATTTTTTGGTTTAAAAGACTCAAAGGATTTTTTTTTAATGGATAACAATGGAATGGTAACCCTGCCTGCGCTAACGGTATACGCTGGCAGAGTGACGGTGAGGGATAACGGGTGAAGATGGAAGCACGTTAGTTAGCCGATGGTGGTGAATAGACCTGGAATTCAGCACGATAATTTCCAGAGAGAGCCCATGTGGACCTGATTATATTGCTAGCAATGGGACCCTTAGTATCCATTGCTGACAATCCTTTCTCCCCCGTCTGAAAGGATTAGAATTTGGAACATAGGTAAGTTATATGCTAACTCAAAAATAGGATACTCTACCTAGTGATTTACGTGGGTAAAACCGCGAGAACCGTTAGTTAAATATAATATTGACTTCTAAACTTACGAAATTATAAGACGAACCTAACATAATAGGAAAACTAGTCTCCGATGCCTATGTATTCAGGATTTAGATAGATCGATCTCCACATGGTTTCCCTAGAAACCTGCGTGATTAATTCTTGAATTTGCCATGGCCGAATGAGCTGATTTCATCCTCGCCTATCATCCCTCAGTGGTATTCCGTTAGTGAAAACGGTTTTTTTTTTCATGAACGGTAATAGAATGATAACCTCACCTGTGATAACGGTATACGCTGGCGGGACACCAGTGAAGGATGATAGTTGAGACTGAAAATACAGGTCAATTAGCCCATCGCGAAAAATACACCTGAATTTCAGCACGATGGTTTCTAGAGACCACGTGGAGGTCGACCTGACAGGGTATATTGCCAGCAATGGGACTAGTAGTCCGCATTACTAACAATCCCTTTCTCCCTGCGAAAACGGGGTTATCAACATTCAATCTAATTTAAAAAAAATCTGTTACTATAGAGTAATCTATTTGTGTTTATAGATACTTCATTTTAGTATTTTAAATCTAATATGTCTACAAATATTTCGTAGTTTATTAGTGTTTAAAGTCAAAGAATGAGATTTGCTAGTAACAAGAGTATAATTTTATCGTGACAGAAGTATATATGTAGATATTATTTGTAGAGCGAATGTATTTTCTTATTTGACAGAGCCAACATATCCGGGATAAGAATCCTTCAGTTCATAATATTTATGAATTCCAGGTAAAATTGTTATGTTATTTATAGAACGGTGTATTCTTGGAGCAATATTGGTTGTACCCCCGGGGAAGGAGCTTGGTTGTTTGCTACTTTCCTTATATAAAAAATTCATGAAACAATATACGTAGGTATGTATGTTACTACTTATTTTACGTATATCTTATTTCTATTTAGGGGTAGGCAATATATACATTTTTTAATATATATGTAACTTATTTTATTATTCTACTATTTATTAATGGACTGTATGTTTTTTTTTTTATGGGTGAAAATGGTATGGTAACCCCGCCTGCGCTAACGGGATACGCTGGCGGAGCACCAGTGAAGGGTAATCGATGAGAATGAAAACAGGCCAGTTAGCCCATCATGACGAATTCATCAGGAATTAACCATGATAGTTTCCAGGGGGGATCGCGAGGAGGTCGACCTGGTTGGGTATATTGCTATCAATGGGATTCTCAGTCTCCATTACTAACAATCCCTTAAGAAAGAAGGTCTTTAAGTTATTGTAAAAACAATAAACAATTCATCGTCTTCATATCATCATGTGTGTGACGTCTGAACATAAGCCTCCCCTAGGGGGGTTTAGGGAGCAGCAGCGTCCCTTTTAAAACAACTCTGTAGAATCAACTTCCAGCAGCAGTATTTCCGA